TATCAATTGAAAAACGAATCGGTAAAGAGATCAAGACTTTTCCATACGGATAGAGGTGGAGAATTCACATCAACTGTGTTGAACCGTTTTTGTGATGAAGAAGGGATTTCACGTATGTTGACGGCTCCTTATGCACCTCAACAAAACGGTATAGTCGAACAGAGAAATCGGACTCTACTCGAGATGACATGGTGCCTAATGAAAGCAAAATATATTCCAAACCACTTTTGGGGTGAAGCGGTACGACATGCAACATTCATCATAAATCGTACACCTACTCGAGCATTGATAGGTGCTACACCATTCGAGAAATTTTATGGTGAAAAACTAAATCTTGAAGACTTGAAAGTATTTGGTTTGTGTTGCATATGAAAGAGTTGTCTCAAAACATTTGAAGAAGCTTGATGATAGGTCACGACCGTTGGTATATTTTGGAAAGGAACCCAATTCGGGAGGATTTCGGTTATATAATACACGGGAAAATAAAATTATTATTAGTGCCCATGTAGTTTGTGATGAAAATAAGACATGGCAATGGAATAATGAACCTAAAAATCAAGATGGAAATGGACCGGGTACGTTTACGGTCTTGTGGAGTAATGGTCAAGCAACCCAAGATAATGGTGGTTCGATCCCAACTACAACAGAAACCGAACAATTCACTGATCCGACCCAAACCGACCAAACCAATGACACTTATAACGATGATAGCAGCCCATCACAACCCGTTGATGATCAAAATAGTGATGCAAGTTTTGTCCCACTTCGGCGGTCCACTCGAACTTCAATGTTGCCAAGAAGATTAAATGACTACGAGTTAGATGTGGATCATTTAATGTTGTCATTCGATGAAGAACCAAAGAATTTTAAGGAAGCCAAAGTGAACAAAAATTGGCTCAATGCAACGAAGGCCGAAATTGACTCCATCGAGAAGAACAATACTTGGAAATTAGTTCCTCCACCTAAAGATGTTAAACCTATTGGGTTAAGATGGTTGTACAAAACTAAACGAAATATGAATGGATCAATTACAAGGTACAAAGCGCCCCTAGTCGCTAAAGGCTATGTACAAGAGCAAGGCATTGATTTTGATGAAGTATTTGTGCTGGTAGCTCGACTCGAGACAATAAGACTATTGATTGCTCTTGCGGCCGGGAACGGATGGAAGATTCATCACTTAGATGTAAAAACGGCATTTTTATATGGAAATTTAAAAGAAGAAGTGTACGTGTGCCAACCGGAGGTTTCGTGAATCAAGGTGAAGAAACAAAAATCTACAAATTGGAAAAAGCATTATACGGTCTTCGACAATCTCCACGTGCATGGAATTTGAAGCTTAATAACACATTGAAAAATATGGGTTTTAAACGGTGCATGCAAGAAAATGCGGTTTATAGAAAGGTTACATATGAAGAATACATAATAGTTGCAGTTTATGTAGATGATTTGTTCGTGACAGGAACAAGTATAGAGTTTATAAACCAATTCAAGAGACTAATGGTGTAACAGTTTGAAATGTCGGACCTTGGTGAAATAACTTGCTACTTGGGTATTGAAGTATTGCAAGAAAATGGTTGTGTAAAGGTGAAGCAAGAGAGTTATGCTATGAAGATTCTAAAAGAGGCAGACATACAAGAGTGTAATGCAACTCAATGTCCGATGGAGCCGAGACTAAAGATGTCTAAAGCCAAAGATGAACCAGAAGTTGAAGCTACCCATTATCGAAAATTAGTGGGTTGTTTACGATATCTCTTACACACTCGTCCAGATTTAGCATATTCGGTTGGAGTAGTTAGTCGTTATATGCAAAGTCCAAGAGAATCTCATGCACGTGCTATTAAGAAAATTCTTCGTTACTTGCGTGGTACTTCATCTTTTGGGATAGTATATAAACGAAGTAAAATTATGAGCTTGATAGGTTACAGTGATAGCAGTCATAATGTTGATGTTGATGATGATAGAAGTACAACAGGGCATGTTTTCTACCTTGGTGACTCTCCTATCACTTGGTGCTCCCAGAAGCAAGATACAGTAGCGTTGTCCTCGTGTGAAGCTGAGTTCATGGCAGCTACTGCAGCTGCGTGTCAGGCGTTTTGGTTAAGGGAGTTATTGGCTGAGCTGACAGGAATGAAGAAACAGAAGGTGCTGATTCGCATAGACAACAAATCAACAATTGCACTGTCAAAGAATCCTGTCTTTCATGAAAGAAGCAAACACATGCACACTCGATTCCATTTCATTCGAGAGCGTGTGGAAAATGAGCAAGTGATTGTTGAGCATGTTTCGGGAGATAAGCAACGAGCAGATCCACTTATGAAGGCCTTAGGTCAAATAAGGTTCGCAGAGATGAGAGCGTTGCTTGGCGTGCAAGAATACCTGAGTCCGGAAGATGGCGTGATCCAGTCCAGAAGCAAATTCCTTGGAGTGTTGTCCAAGTTCCAGAGAATTTCCTTGAGCCATAAGGATTCTCTACCTGTAATCAGATAGATTTGAAGTTTTTTAGTTATATTTCTTCAATAAGATTTCCTGCGAGTTTTATGCAGTAATCATTGTTTCTAGTTTGTTGTTTACCTTAACACAATTATTATTATTATTATTATTATTATTATTATTATTATTATTATTAATATTATTATTATGTTTGTATTCTCTGAATAAAATATTTCGCTGTAACACTAGTCAAAATAGGTCAATAGACAATCACATGTGATTATGCCAATCATGTAATGTGATTTTGTTAAACTAGTAATGTGATAAGAGTGCTATGTAGTTCATGATAAATTCTAATACAAATATGAACTTTCTTTATGATACAACTCAAAGTATACGTCCATACGATTCCAAAAATATAGAGAATGTCTGAATTTGACCTCGCATGAAGAAGTTATGATAAACCGAACACTATAAATCTCTATAATAAGAGGAATTTAAAATAGACTTAGAATTAGCTATTGGAGTCTAAAAGAGAGTTCTAGTACTTGTAAATACCTACGCGTGCATATAAAGAACGTCAAAAACGGAGTTCTTATGTGAAAGTTACGGCCTTCCGAAGATTCAGCTGTCAGAAACCCTAATCTGACTGAGCTCGGCGTGAGCACAGAACTCACGACGTGAGGAGTCATTTATCCACATCTCGGAATCTAGAAGGTGTGTGACGAGGCTGCGAGGGGATAAGATCCAAACTCACGACGTGAGCAAGGATATGTCACGACGTGAGGAGTCACATGGCCACCTTCCGAAGCTAGGGACGCAAATGGCAAGTCTACGGGGATAAGATCCAAACTCACGACGTGAGCCTTATAAAACTCACGACGTGAGGGTCCAAAATCCTTACTATAAATAGCAGGTCCGACTTCAGCCATTCTTACACCTAAAATTCCTTCTCCTCTCTCCTTTGGTGAGACCATCTTGCATCCCGAGCCCCGACGACCTTGTATGCTGACCGTTTCTGCTTAGATTACATAAAATCACGCTACTAGGGTGAGTTTCACGGCCCCACTTTCTAATATTTTGGGGGAAAACGCATGCTAAATATTATATATACGTTATTATTATGTCTATATATTAGTATATAGTTATAATAGCCAGGGTATAGTTGTTCTAAATATAATATTTTGAATATATACAACTATTATCAACTTGTCAGCATGTTAATTTACTAATGTAGATCTTGAGTTATACTTAGGATTCTATATATATGTTGTGTGCGATATAGTTCTGAAGTTATATTCGGAAGTTCTATATGTTAAGTTATAAAGTATGTTGCTATTATTGGTTTTATGTCAAGATAAAACTTGGTATGTTATATGTTGTTATTGTTAGTTTTATGTCAAGATAAAACTTAGTATGTTATATATTGTTATTGATAGTTAATGCCAAGATAAAACTAGGAACGTTATATGTTGTTATTATTGGTTTTAGGTCAAGATAAAACCTGGTTTTACTTCAAGATATAGCTGTTATACTGCCTAAATGTTATGAAGTTAGGAGTAATGTTTAAAAGCATAGTCTAGTAACTTAGGGTTTTAGACATGAAAATGCTTTTGTTGTTAGAGCTATAGGAAGCCGTCGAAGTCTACATGAGTAATTGTATTCATCAACTAAGATTGGGGATCTTAGCGAAAATCCTCTGAACTGTAACCGTTAATCCCGTGTGAGCGAGGAAGTCGTGTATAATTAGTATACGGGTTGACCACCCCACTTGTGACTGTTAGCTACAGTCAACCAAAAGCGAGTGATGAACTATCCTTTTACTTGTTATTGTTCCGGCGTCGATGAAGCGTACGGTGTTGTTCTCATGGTAAATCATGAGTGTATTTTATCAGAGGTATTATGTCACAGCCGCGGTTACAGGCTCATGGTAGCCAATTATTAGAAGCATTATACTTTGTCGTATACAAGTATTAATGTTAAGTATAAGTTTCCCCCTACTTATACCTTAGGTTTAAGGAATGTTTAGGTATAACACTTAATTGATAAGTAAACTATTATACCTAATATACCTACTAAATGTTGGAGAGTCAAAATGATACTTTCAAAACTATACTTTTGAACGTGGAAAAATATATTATTTTATGGAGTCAAAACCTGTGGACTCACCAACTTTATGTTGACGTATTTTAAAATGCATGTGTTTTCAGGAACTTGAAAAGCGGGTATGTATTCGAACAGAAGAAGTTTTACTATTACCTTTTATGTTCATTAAGAAGTATGCCATAGTCGGATATTATGTAATAGGTTCTTGAAAAACAGTTATGTAACTTTCAATTATCAATAAATGTATGTATTTTCTTAGTACTGTTCAATATATGTTATATAACTGTGATACGAAGAATGACGTTACACTACCCGGTGTTTCCGCCGATGGCTGGGGGTGTGACATTCGCCTACTTGCCTTTGTGTTGTATATATCTTTTTTTATAACAACAGTATTTTATAAAACAAAAATGATGATGTTAATCTTTATCCAGATTAATATGAGCAAACCGGAAAGTGCACTTTCTTACTAATAATTGGGCAAACATTATTTGTTTTACATATTATGCCTTCAAATGCAAACAATAACAATCTACACCACAAAAACACAAACCAACTTAAATCTTTTCAGATCGATATGCTATTTGGAATTCCCTTCCCCGTAAGTCCACCCTCATGACTCTTATCCGACGTATTCGGATAAAGCAAAGTATACGCAACCTTCACTGGTCCATTCCTATTTTTCAATCTCTCATCATTGTTCCTTATCATTATCCTCTTTTCAATCTCCTCCAGTTTCTTCCCAAACCTCTCAAACGCCTCTAATGCATCAGTATCCCCAGTCCAATGCGGAGACTCGCTTTGACCAAGATAAATCTCATCAGTCGAATGCCTCGACAGAATCTCTATAAGCGAAACTCCAAGCAATGTTTGAAGCTGGCTTGTGATCGTTTCCAGGAAAGCTTTTTCTGGGTCTGATTCCAACTTTGCGTACTCCGGCGTTCCTTTCTTTGGCATGAACCGGCGGCTGACGGTGGGGCGGTTGGGGAGGTATCCAGCGTAAGGGTATTGACCGAAATTGACTGCCGCATGGAGAGCTGACGCCACCCATATGATGATTGTACAGGTGTCGATAAGCTCTTCACGTGTCTGCATCTTAGGCCACCATGGCTCGTCTTTCTTGTCACCGTGGCCTTCTGTTCTCAACTCCTCCCACCATAACTGGACTTCTGAATCTTCTCTAACGACGTCGTCTGAGGAGTAATATATACAGCAGTATTCTTCAACCCAGGTTTTGATCGCCGACCAAATCTCAAGTCCGTCCACCGCGAAAGGGTAGTCTTCTAACAGCAGTTTTAAGCCGTTGGGTTCGTTTGGATCCTTCACAGCTACACCTCTACATATATAATTCACAAACTCTTTATATGTTACAAACAATTAAAGCTCGATCACTCGACATAGTAACGTACATTGGCTAATTGTATATTATACCTCTTAAGTAGATCAGCTGGCAGCGCCTGTTCTGGGAAGACCCAGTTCTTATAAATAACAGCAGACATTTCCATGGCGTATTTGGCCGGAAATACAGTCATTTCAAGTACACCCCCGGCGTTGATGAGTATTTGTCGAGCTAACGCGTTTATGTGCATTGTATCACGAAAATGTGGATGAAGAAGTTTGTATATAGGATGAAGAACACTTAACTGTCGATTCGTAGCAATTATGAATGGTTCTATTACTGCATGGGTGTTCAACCTGCACAACTAACATCAATCAAAAAAACTAAAAAAAACACGATCAAAGAACTGAAGTAGAAAATGTTTACAGATCAAGTACGATACCAGTGGCTAATAAGTTGATGATATCCGGAGTCATTCACGGCGGCGTAAGCCTTAGCCAACTGCCATATGGTGGCTTCAACACCATCGTCGCATGGAGTAAAGACTTCACTAGTGCAGCCATTGTTTTCTGACTTGGGATCATTCGGTAAACTTAACTCGATTGCAAGTGGTTTAAGTGTGTCATCGTGTTGCAGCAAGAGGACTGTTCTGGTGGCATATATCTTCGAATCCGTGGTGTTGATTCTTGTCAGGTATGGCATCAATGCATCATGATGATCCAAGATGAACAACTTATTTTCTTGTAAAGCCTACACATGATATCCAAATACGTACATCAGAAAATTAATAAACACAAAACACAAAACTCATCTGGGTTTAATTCGTACTTGTTCTACAGTTAGTCCGTTCATGTTTGGTTCGAGATGTTCCTTTGTCATGGAGCTTGTTTGGTCGCCATATTCTTTGGGATCAAGCTTACTAATTGGTGGGAACTCCTGGTGAGGTAGAAAGTAGAAACATTAAAGGTTAAAAATTCAAATTCGTGGTTGATCGATCCCAAGACTTTGATATATTGAACTTACTTGAAGTCGCCGGATGACTACCGGATTTACACCGGCGAGCATTTCTCTTCCAAATTCTTCATCTGTTCTCCATGCAGACTTGTCCACTACAAAAAGTCCACTTTTTTTAATTATTTCCTACTCAAAGATAAAAACTGAAAAAGATTAATTATAAGTTTCGCTTACCCTAGCTATAAGCAGATTTTCATACCTTCGATAACATCGGGCATTGGGAATGTAAGAGGCTCTTCTCCATCGTTACGTAAGAGTTCTTTCACCAACTCCACATGAATCCGTTTTCTGATCTTGCTAACAGAGCGTTTGGGGAGCTTAAGCCCATCTGTGTAGAGATTCAGTATATCTTTAAAAGAATCAAATTCGTTCGGAGTTTTATCAAACAATGCCTTGATCTCAGGACGAACCACTTGGCCTATAGATTTAGCTGAATAGCCTAAGAAATCTGAGAACTTGACTTGATTAAATCGTTCATCTCGTGGAACATAAATGTTCAAACTTAGAAGAAACAATCTCTTTTCGGAATTTGGATCAGTTTTGGTTGGCTTTCGACCTGTTCTTCCTCTTCGTGGATATGGATACTCCTGGGATCCACCCAAAACGGGTCGGGTATGATCCGGACCCTTATCAGGGAAACCCAAATCGTTATAGTAAGCGTAGTCATAAACCCTATCCCATTTCTTTAGCATTCCTGAACCAGTTCCTCTAAGGTTGATAAGTTCTTGTTCTCTATAGTGCCGTAGTGGTTTCGGTGTGGAACAAGGTAAATAAGCCTAAGAACATCCAAATGGAGAGTTTAATGAGAAACTTGCATCAGATGTAAAACTTAGTTGTCATTGAAACTGTATCACTAGATGTCACATTGACATTATGTGTGTATTTAGAGTTCAATGATAATTATTTAATAGAAAAATAAAAGTTTTTTAATACTTCAATAAATATTTAAATATGTTCCAATGAACTATGTAGTAATACATTATAAGAAAATTTGATAGAATTACATTTAAGATAGAACGATAATGTGTAAATCCATTAAATTCTAGAAGTTCAATACATAGATATAACAAATATTTAATGAGTTTACATTAAAAATATAACATATTTGAATTAAACTATTTACTATTAAAAACAATTATGATTTTACTTTTATCTACATTTTAGAATATTATAGTTTATATTTTTTTCTAATTATAGTAGATTCATCAAAAATACATATTAATATTTGATGTTATAATAACTAGATTTATTTTTTAAAATTAGTGTGGAAAGTAGAATCAACTCTAATAAATAAAAGTTTTTTTGTGACATGTCATTCTTACATTAACTTGGACACATGTCATTTTTTAGTGAATAAATGTTTTTTTCATTTGTCATTTTCTCATTTTTTATCTTTTCTTAATTAACAAATCAAATTTACACATCAATTAATAATTGCTTTAATTTAAAAGGAAACATATGTGTTTCCTTTTAAATTCAAATTTCAAATTTTAAATTTCAAATTTAAATAAATTTTTGTTTAAATTTCGTGTGTATATATATATATATATATATATATATATATATATATATATATATATATCCAACCCGTATAAGATACGAGTCTTACAACTAGTATTGTATTTAATAAAAATTCAGAGTACAAATATTTAATAAGACAAAATTAGAAGAATAAAATATTATAGTTATGGTATTAATAAAAAAAAAGGTGATATGCTTTTTTAAATAAATAAATATATGTAGCTATAACTGGTTGTATTTAACATTTTCTAAAGATAAAAAAAAAATAGTATAATAATCGTTCATTGAATTGCACGTTGTTTTGTAGAAAACATTTAGAATTGGGCCATTTGTGTCAAATACAAGATCATAAATACAAGGAGATAATTTTTTTAAACGTGAATGGGACCATTTGTCTCAAAAACATTTTGAATTGCACGTTGTTTTATATAAAATATTTTATAGATCAACATAAAATTTGTTATATTGAAATTTCAATCCTATTCTTGTATATAACGTCCCGAATACTTTTTAATATTGAAAATTTCTTTATAGATGAAAATCAAACTTATATAATTTTGTACTGAAGACATAACTTTATCGAAACAAAATTTTACAACTGTATTTTTACATATTCTTAGTAAGACATTAATAAAATATTGAAAAAAAAGAATACAAAAAGAAAAAAATAGACAACATACTTCCATAAATTAGTCGATGAAGTTCCTTGATTTTTCTTTTTCACATGATTAATATCTTGAACTGTTCTGGAATCGACTTTTGATCTAAAGAAAATAATTTTGATCTAAAGAAAATAAAAGACACCGACTTGTGATCCAAAGAAAAGAAAAGACACCGACTTTTGATCCAAATAAAAAACAAAGACTTATATCAGTCTATCTATAAAATGTTAAATCTGTTGTGCTCCTAAAACAACATATTTTAAATAAAATAAAATTTATATATAAATGTTTAATCATTAGAAAAGTGGAAGAACATCGTTGATAAACTAGTAAAAGTACGTTATATATTTGTATCTTGTCGATAAAATATACTAATATTTAGTTTGAAACTTACTAAAAATGTAATGTCTTGTTTTATTTTTAAAACAACCTAAAAGTGTTGGAATTTTTTAGATAAAAAGATGTATTTTTTATTAACAAGTATGTGTCACTTAATAGGTTCTGCGAACAAAAAAGAAAAGAAATATATAAAGACTTGCAAGATAAAACAAAGTTCTGTATCAAAATTCAATGCAAGGACCTTACTTCTAATTATAAAATTAAATAATTTTAAATAAATATTCGTCATGTGATGCATGAAGCATGATGCACATTAAGTTGGAAGCCACATTCTTATAACTAATAAAATCTCTTATCCTATTGTTTTGGACCTATTTGTACATAATTAAACATAAAATAATTAAAAAAAATAAACTCATGATAACATAAAATAGTTGTTTGATACTTTGATTTATTCAAATCTTACCTTTTGAATATAAAAATAAGAGCAGACTGGAGAAGTGAATCTTATTGGATAGGAAAGTAGTATAATATTAAGATGTATATTGTATATTTTAATTCTACACATCACATTCTGGCCTATTTACTTTCTAAAGTATATAAGAATTGTCGTACGTAACAACCTATCGTTGAAATAACTTAATTGTCCTATATATAAACAATAAATTTATGTTCGTTTCATATATAAAACGAATTTTTTTTTTTATTTTCTCATGTTAGGAAATTATATAAGTTAATTTCGGTCGATTGAATCAATTTCGGATAACAGCGACGCATTACTAAAATTAACTCAATTCTATATAGATTCCTAAACGCCTTAGTTTCCTAATAAACTTGATTGCCGAAATTAACTTGGGATGAGCAAAAATCGAACCGAAAACCGAAAAACAAAAAAAAACCGACATAATCGAAACCGAAAAACTGAAACCAAAGCAATAACCGACGGTTTAGGTTTGAATTTTACAAAAACCGAAAAATAACGGGTTGGTTCGGTTTTGACGTATAAAACCGCCCATAAAAACCGAACCGATCCACATGTATATTATTTATTATGTTATAAACTTTTAGTTTTAGACTTTAGATTTTATCCCTTTAGTACTTTATGTTTATTTTCAACAAACTGTTAATGATGTTAAACTTTGATATTTTGAATACCTTTATGCTTTTAGAATACTAGAATCCGTACTCTTTATTTTAGTATATTTAAAATAGATACAATACTATTTATCGCGACGTACTTTCTGAGTTTGAACCCAAAAACTAGAAAAAAAAAACAGGAGCTCATAAACCCACGGTTTAAAACCGAAAACCCATAAACCCAACCCGGAAAATTGAAAAACTGAACCATGCAAAAACCGAACCTATATGGGTTTAAAAACCGAAAAACCGACTTTCTACGTTTGGTTTGATTTTAGCCAAAAACCGACCCATGCTCATCCCTAAAATTAACCCATTCCAAAAAAAAAAAAAAAAAAAACATATAGTTTCTCAAACATTTTAAGGGTCATCCTTTCTGTTTGTTTGTCACTTGTCACATTCTCATTCAATTTGCCAAATGTCATTTTGTGGTTTTTTTGAATAAATTTTTTTTTTCCACATGTCATTTTATGAGTTTTTCTATTTTATTAAATTTCATATAATATTTTAATGTAATAATTATAATAAATATAGTATTAAATAGATATCAATTTCATTAATGAACTACCTTTTAATTTCAAAATTCTCAAAATTTAAGCTCATTAGTTTCTTTTATTTATTTAAATTTAAAAGACAAAAAATATTTATATTATAATAATTTATTATTTTTCTTATTTTCTTATAAATTCAAAGTTCTCAAATATTTTGACATTTATAATTAACCTTTTTTTTAAATTAACTCATATAATACATGGGTCTCACAACTAGTTGGATATAAACAACTTCTAATTTGACCATAAAATTTTGATTATCGAGATTAACTTGATATTATAAGTCTTACAAACCAAAATTAAACTATTTATTAAAATATTCCACATCTTTGAAACAAAAGTTTAATGATAAAGACATATTATCTCTATTTTATATTTATTGTCCACTTTTAATTTTTGAATTCTTTATATTTCAATTTTGATTTTAAATATTTTTGTTTTTTATATATAATACTTAATGCTAAATATATGAATGAATTGTATTTTAAATGTCTTTTTATTTTTATAAGTTTCATTAATTATTAACTAATAAATAATACAAATAAAAATATTTAAGATCAAAATTAAAAAATAAAGATTTCAAAAATAAAAAATAAAAAATAAATATGACACATATGGAATATTATATTACGTTATTAATATTGCAAATTAGAATTAGAGCAATTTATAATATGAAATAATAGAAAGAGACAAATAAAAAGCCAAAAATACTCCTATTTAATATACATATCTAAAGTACAAAATACATTAATTTTCATATCTTAGCTTAAATAAAGTTTGAATTTGGGAATATCAACCTGGGTGTGCTAAGAAATGAAAATCTGACATGACAAGAAAGCATCAAATACTCTATGTGATGTCACTTTATTTATAAGAAAAGAGTTAGGTGGCCCCATTGACCCACTAAAACATCTACCAATCACAAATGTATACTCTCCTCCTTTACAAAATACAAGAAACTCTCACTTAATTATTGACATTCAAAACGTGAATAACGACAGGCATCATTGACTACAAAACTTTTAATTGTTCAATCCTTATTTTAATTTATATAATATAGTTGTTTATTTTCATATTATTTAATAAACAAATATATAAAATACATATGGTTGTATAAATTAGTATGCATTTAATTTATTCATTTCGTGACAGTTACATTTATAGTCGTTTCTATATTCATTCTAACAAAAGAATGCAGTAAAAAAAAAAAAAAAGGGTAATTACCTTGTTAGCAAAGAAGACGCGGTTGTACTTATAACGATGCGCAGGGTACACCCACGAGTTGCAGACGAAGTGGACTGTTCCATGATCAGGAACATGTTCTAAGGTCAGAGTTTTGAGGTAAAACTGACTATGGTGTTGGTTCTTTATCACGAAAGCACCAGGAACTCCCATGGATTCATTCCATTCAAATGTCACCGAGAAAGAAGCTTCGCCGGCGGACATCGGCGTCACTTTTTTGATCCAATCTTCAAGAACCGCTGCTTTTCCGATCTCCCCATTCGATCCATTCCCTAAACAATATCAACATTAAGAATATGAATATAGTTTATGTATGATTGTCGGAAAACATAGTGATGGAGATGAACTGACATGAGTCCTCAAAGTAATCCTTGCTGATAAGTTTGATCGAGATACGTTTGCCGAAGAGTTCGTAAACCCTGTCAAGAAACGATGCACCGAAATCATTGAGATCGAGAACGTTTTTCTTCATTAACACCACAGTTCCTTTGATCTTCTTCTTCATCTGCTCCATTTCGTGAGAACTGCTTTTGGTGGAGCTGTTTCCACATAACATCAAGTTCCTTACCCCCATAACTTGTTCTCTCCGGCGGATATCGGGAAGAGAGACCGAATGTTATCGGGCCAAGTGTTGTTGTTTGTGCACTTGTATCGGAATATTTATTAACAGCTGTGGTAGTCTCTAGGTGGTGGGAATGTTTCCTATTCCAGATTCTTGACTTGCAAAGACTTTTTGTATACACACTGTTTTCTCTTTTCTGTAACAACCAGGAATCAAGATGTGTGTGTGTGTGTGTGTGAAAGGATAAAGAAATAGTTGTTATTTAATGTAATTTATAGGAGGGTACCAACCCATGTCTCAAGTAATGTTTTCTTTGTGTCTTTGTCTCTTTTTATTTTTTCCTTTGCTCTTTAACTCCATTGACAAGAATTGTTTATCATTGATATCAAGTTAAGAAGGTAATCTTTAGGTTTAAACATAGAACTTTATTTATTGATTGTTACATTCTTACCACTAGACAAGAATTAATTGTTCAGACTTTCGTGCTAATTAAGGGCATTTGAAATCTATAAATGTAAAGTTGAGTTCAATGAAAATTGTATTTTAGTATTGAGAGTTTGTTGTTATTAAGGAAACTATATCGCAATAAATGATATTAATAGCAGAATAGATCGAATTTGACAACCAACTGTATCAAATAATGTTTAAAAATGTATCGTAATATCTAAACTTATAAAATGTGACCAAATCCATTGATATTTAGATATAATTGTATTAGTTATAACCCGTGAAAACCACGGGTAAAAAGGAAAAATAATATTGATAATTAAAAATAATAATGGAAAAATAAAAAATTTATAAAATTTTATCCTTATTTTTTCATAAACATACCTGTTTAAATTGCATAAATTTTTTAAATTAAAGATGATACCCACAATTAAAGTTCGTAGCAAAACAAACTTAAACAATGAAACAATTAACAAATGAATTAGAAAATATAAATAAGACACTATAAAACAACTTGTTGGGTCTTATAATGTGTTAAACATAAAATATACATTACAATTATAAATATATTCAACAACCATTATTTATTATAGATATATTTTGATATCCAAGAAACATTCAACATATTTTGATGTTAGTGATTATATATTAAACATAACCAATTTAATAACCAATAAAATTTAAAATTTTAATAAAAGAATGACAAAAGGATATGTATTAGATATGTAATAACCCTAGAAGGCTAGAACAAATCAAATATAAGATGCCATCAGGAGAAAAGAAAGAGAAATGAAAGCGACATAAGTTCGTGCAAACTATCGATCGTGAATACCTTCAAAACAATATGCAATTGTTAACCTATCACAATTACATACTTATTTGAATGTCGATTATAGCAAAGAGAGAAGAAACATAGAAAGGACCGACGCTAAAATTCACATCTCACACCGGTCATGAAAACCTTAAAAAATGGGATTCGAAATTGAAAAAGGTATAAATCTTTTTTACATTAATGGTTCAAACATTTAACTTTATTTATTAGATTGAACAGGAATCGAAGAAATCTTAAATATTTCTTTCTAATAATCCGAGAAATTAAAAATAGGATTAATAATTACCTCTTTGAAGAACACAACATTTTCAACTAAAATAAGAGAGTTTGCTTGCAACTGGTAGATGAAGCAATTGAGGAAAATCTGAGGGACGAAGTCAGAGTGGATACACGAAAAATGAAATATTCTACTGAGAACAATTTATCTTTAAATCTTGTGGGTGTAAAATTTTGATAAAATTCTTTTTAATTAATTAAAATTTGATTATATAGTAAACAAATAACATTAATTCCTAAGATTCAGTTACCTAATTGCGGATTCTTATATTATTGTTAAGATTTTATAAGATTTTCTCAGTTAACTAATGTGAAATTATGATATTATTGTCATTGAAGAAGAAGCTAAAACAACTTATATGTCTGAAGACTTATTCCACGAGAAGAAGTTGAAACTCCATACCCCTCCTAGCCAAGAGCGTCCCACATTAAATACCAGAGACTCTCAAAAGTCTCCAGTAGCTATTCGATTCAACGCTGAATCACCCGTTCGAACCCCATCCGCCGACTTCACTTCAAAAATTGTAACGGTTTCATATCACAATCATGGAGACAATGCCCAATCAGGATTCCAAGTGGATCCTGATGTCGATAAAACTCCTAAGGTCTCCAGGAGAACACACTTGCACGTTTTTACTCCTGAGGAGCTACACTCAATCTTTCTTTCATTAACACATACACTACAAACACCTCATGCACCGTAGGGTCCTTTTTCAGTGACCCCTGCTGGAATAGGGTCGTGGCCAAACTTGGTTATAGACCAAGGAGACCGATGAAGCCCTAGAAATTCTTCGTCGTCAACATTACGACCAAGCGACATAGGCATGGTGAGCACCAATGTGCAGGGATCCATAAACCCGGGGGACACCCCGGTGGTGACTGGACAATTTTGGATTGCAGATGATAGCTGGACCAAGTACCAGCCCACAACGGAATCAGAAAAGAAAAGATTTGCAGCTTTCAAAAAGGTGTTAAGAACATGATAAGATGAGCAATCCGATATTTTACTAGAAAGAAAGAGTTACAATATGAAAATGAAGAACACTTGGTAGGAGAGAACCCACCATACTCTCTCTAAGTAGAGGACTACATTTTTGGTACACCCTAAACAAGTGACTATTCCATCTCTATTTATAGAGATAAAAAGGGAATCTTACAAACATAAAGGGAATACTCTAGTCTAGTTATCACTCATAAATTGTAGAGCATTTCCATGCTCCAATAATCTCACCCTAAATGCTTGGAAATGATGAAGGATACAAATACAGTGATAAAAGGCTAAAATACATAGTAACCAACTAGAAAGTGCGGAAATAAAATGATACATAAAGAGAACCAAATGTTGAAATGTCTCTGAAACTCTGAAGTGTTTGTGATGTCTGAAACTAGGCGATGAAATCTCTATAGTCAAAGTCTTCTAAGAATCGAAGGATCAAGCAACTCCGATGTTGAAGAGTGAGATTCCAGTCTACAGATGTGATCAGTAAACCAAGCTGATCATCTTCAAAAGTGTACCACAATAACTTCTGAACTGAACGTCCCATAATCAAGTCCCACTTCGGCTTCAAAAGTCTGAAACATCGCTAGTTCTTGAATCACAATATACCAAAAATTCTTCAAAAGAATAACCTCCTAAAAAAATGAAAACATCCTGTGGTAGAGTTGGAATAATAAAGAAATATGGATCCAGGAATAGAAGTTGCAGTGATCCGCAAGTAAGGACCAGACTTCAAACTTCAATTAGAATTATCATCATGGCGTCGGTTTGACTAAACAGGTAGATGATAAGCCAAGGTCAATTAGCAAACCGCATACTAAATGATCTCCTTTACCCAGGAATCTTCAAAAATCCACACTCTGAAAAACATAACTAATAATCTGGATACTCATAATATTCTCTCCCTATTTTTGATAATCAATACCCAGATATCAAAAAAAAATATGGATGGAGAGTTTCAAATACCAAGAGCTTCGCATGCTCTCCCTAGATGTATGAAGGGTCTCGATAAAAACACGAGAACGAGAGTAAAATACATACTCTCCGGTCATTTGTAGCTTGTTGATTCTGTTGCTGAAAATTGTCTGAACAAGTACCAAAGTAACAATAAGAACTCTGCATGAAAAATCCCTGCTCTGCTGAAAAATGCTGATGTACCTAAACTTCGGTGCTGGAACTCCTGAAGCGGTCTTCAATAAATAAAGTCCACTTGCTCAAGACACATGGTTCGTCACCCGAAGATCAAGAGCGACAAGTCATAAAAATCTCGTAGAGCGAAGGTTGCGAAACAACTTAGTTGATCAAACGCAACTACGGTGCCATCATAGTGTAACATCCCAAAAATCATGAACAAAAATTTCATTTTAATTATTAAATAAAACCATGGTTTTCAAAACCTATCGTCCAATACATAAGTCAAGTATCCAAAACATCACAATCATGTTTATAAAACATAATATCCATAACAAAACACCAGAGTAAACATCCCAGGCTAAAACATCATGGTGTGTGCAATGCAGTCATCCCAAGCTCTTCCCTTTGCTACCAGAAGTACCTGAAACCAAAACTGAAAACTGTAAGCACGAAGCTTAGTGAGTTTCCCCAAACTACCACATACCATACACATAATTACATATAAACATATTGTGGGCCCCGACCCTTCATCGGGCCCCGTCCGGCATCGGACAGTGTCCGACATCGGGCCCCGCCTGCCATCGGACAATGTCCGGCATCGGGCCCCACCCGACATCGAGAAAAGCTCAGTATACATATAAACATATCAAAAAATACACATAGAATAATCACATAACATAAGCATAAAAACATTCCTCGGTCCCCGACCGACATCGGACCGTAATCCGTAAAGCATACAAACATTCCTCGGGCATTGCCCTGCATCGAACCGTAATCCAGAAACATACAAATACAGACACATGGAAGAATCATGAAGACATCAAGCTTACAAACATTCCTCGGGCACCGCCCGACATCGGATCATAATCCGGAAAACATATAAACCTACATCGGGGATCCCCCGGCATCAGACCTTAGTCCGGAATACATACAGTCATAAATACGTGCCGACATTGGTTCCTTCGACCCATTCAAACAGGAGGAAAACTCACCTCCAATGTCGGAAGCTAGCTGAAACGTCTCTTCCCCGGAATCAGCTCTACTCACTCCCTGAACCAAAACAACCCCTTAAATACCATTTCATACTCATAACCCTTTAGGGTCAACTATGGTCAAAGTCAAAGTCAAGGTCAAAGTCAAAGTCAACGCTTCGAGTTGACTCAACTCATCGAGTTATCCTTTAACTTCCCGAGTTCCCATATATCTCATAATCGTGCCTTGTCGAATCAACTCGTCGAGTCCTCCCTAAACTTGTCGAGTTCTTCCTTTTAATAGAATCGGGACACTTCAGCCCAACTCGTCGAGTTCCTCTATGAACTCTTCGAGCTCTTCAGTCTGTTAACCCTTCTTAATGCATTAAGCCCTTATTCTTCAAATCCAAGTCCTATATTCCAGATCTGGGTCGAAAATACATCTAGGAGGGTAAAGTTTCCAACTTTACCCATTAAAACCCACTCTAGAAGAAATAAGCTCTAACCCTAACCCAAAAAGGCCAAAGTCTTGATCCAAAAACAACCAAAACTACAAGATAGACCATGAGGTCATAGATTTGGACTCTAGGGACTAAA